GATCGAAACGTTGGCACGATAAAGAAAATGTTTTTCTGAAACCTACATCACACCAGACCGCATCTCACGATTTCTAAATAAATATCGATTAACGGTCACTAATCACCACACATATTTTCATTACTTTTGTACTAATTAATCCTGTTGAACAAAAAGCAGCCCTTCCATTTTGCTATGTCTAAAGATTGTTTCCAATTAACCTTTTTTTCTTTGTTGTTTTCATTTGATATTATTTTTATTCTTAAACCTTTTTCAATGGATCCGGTCAGCGAGTATGATAGTATCAGGGGTCATAACATTATTAGAGGAAGACTAGTGTGAAGTTCCTAGGAGACTGAGTGTAAATCACTACAATAGGAAGGGTTCTTCAGTGCAGAGAAACAGCGTCTTACTAGGACAGCACAGGGTTGCCCTAGGTCTATGGACAAGAGAGAGCAGATTCATCCGTCATCAAGCTCTACAAAATTGAAGGAAATGAGATAAGAAATCTGATAAGGCAAATCCGAAATGTTTCGATTTCCTCCAGGACTGTAAGAAGGCTCAATGAAAATAATGCAGGGCCTAGTACCAGGCACATGGACGTCTTACCAGCTCACAAACTGGCCAGGCATTAAATCAATTTGCACAGGAATTGGATATTGGAAGATTGTAGACGAGTTCTCTTTACAGATGAAGTGAAAATTGGCCTCAAATCTCCTGATGAGCATAATTTCATATGGAGACCCTCAGGAGAATAGTACAACCCATGCTGTATGTTTCCTCCATGGTGGGTGGGTCCTTGATGTTCTGGGGTGGCATTTCCTTGGACGCCCGGTTGTTGTGCAGCGAAGATCTCTGACTTCACAGAAAGATAAGAACATGTGCCATTTGCCCCCACATCAGTGAGATTCTTGCTAATGCCAGGCCCCGAAGAGCTCGTATTGTGAATGACTACCTAAAGGAGGTTGAAATTGAGTGCTTGGTGAGCCAGCTAGAAGTCCAAATTTGACCCAATTGAACACCTTTGGGACCAACTTACGCGATTAGTACAATGGCGAAACCCAGGTTCTAACACCCTTGAAGAGTTGTAAACAGTTGCTGTTGTTGATTGGGAAAGAATTTCTTAGGATTTTACCAGAATGGAAAGGCTTATTTTTGGTATGTAAAGTATGAATAAACCTAAATATATTAAAATTTAAGAGTGGTGCGTTTGTTTTGTCCATCAGTGTGTGCATGTTTTGTGCTAATCCAAAGTGATGATTTTGCTTTACACAATTTACTAAAATTCAATTTATTTTCCAGAGATGTAGCCAAGAATGGTTTTGCAGTTCTGAAAGAAGCAGCCATCCTCACTTCTTTTGCTTTCAATGTACAATAATTTACTATAAGTTGGTTCATAGTGTCTTATAAATTGTCCAAATGATATTAATATTTTTTATAAATTATATACTCAGATGTAGAATTTTATATCGGAATATTTATTATATATATATTTGTATGTGCTATGTATTTAATTATTTAAATATTATTAAATAAAATAATACACTTCATTTTGTAAAACCTTTTGCTCTTCGTTGTTTTCAACTACATTTTAGATTATTTGTTTTATTTTTACTACTTTAATACCCCTTTCATATGCAATGGTATTTGACGCACAATAAAAATTGACCAATATTTTATCATGAATAATGTCAGTAGAACAGAATGCATTTACACTGGGCAGTAAATGGATTTTTTCAGCAGACCAACTTGTGACTGTTTTTTCAGACCTTTGATTAATTGGCGATATCGTGTTAGAGAACATTCCAGTAGTGCGCTACTACTATTGGGTATTTTCATACTAAACAACATAGTTTGCTGCTATCCAAAATGGCTAAGTGATAACCAGGAAAAGTGGTTATAGGGAGAAATTGGAGCTAATATTATAAAAACTAAGATTGCATATATTAAGTCGTAGTTTTAAAAGAAATTTAAAAATTACTGTGTTTCCCCGGCCTTTACATACACAAAAATTCAATCCCTGGGGCGAGTTGATTCTTTGATCCCCCACACTCTGGTTAAAGGAGCTTTTTTATTAGTTCCTCCCTTCATCTAATTTCCTGCAATAATTCACAGTTATTTTCAATTCTAGTATTCATTTGCCATTGAAAAATGTAATATAGTATTAATATTTAGTATATAAATTGTATCAAATCATTGTACTTTTAGAGAGAAAAGTAATGATGATAGTAATAATAATGACAACCTTATTTCTTTGGACTCAGTGTAATTGTATATAATTTATTGATTATTCTTTGCACATTCTTGGAAATAAAACATAAATATTATTTTAAAAATAAAACAACAAAAATCATATCTTTATTGATACTATATTAATGAATTATTACTTACGTATCTTGCGTATTAATCTTAAGATCTCTAAAAACAAAGGGAGAGAACTAGATTGCTTTGAGAAATTTGAAATTAAAAAATGTAAAATTAACATGGAGATAAATGCATTAATAATATAATAGATTTTGATCTACCTCCTATTTTAAATATGTACATCAATAACATATTAACATGCTATTAACAACATTAAACATACAAATAATTAAATTATTTTAATTCTTATAATTTTTATAATGATTTAATAATATTAATATTATTCTAATTTTTTAATATTTTAACTTTAATCACTAATTCATAATTAATTTCTTACAGTATTTACCATTATAATATTTACTTGTGTTATAATTCCTGCTTTTCGCACATTCAAATTAAGCACCATTAAAAAACCAGTTTCTCATTGGAACGTTGGGTTGCCGGGGTATCGGCGAGTTCACTTTTGCAATTCATGTCGAGAGACGTAGTTGTAGAAATCCTTCAACCTGATGAACTAAGGGCTCGAAATCTGGATATTGGAAATAAACATACTGTGAGTAGGAACTACCTTTTTAAAAAAAGGATTGAACACTGCACTCACTCCATCATTTCTACCACTTAAGTTTTGTACCGATTTTTTTTTCTTTTTTTAAAGGAGGAGTGTTCTTAATTTTCTTAATTGATGTTAAATACATAGCTCTTATACATATTTGTGTAGGTAGTTAATTTTCACAACTTAAGTCTTAATGAACTGGGCTAGGCCTAGAATTGGAAGACTGAAGCCAGACGTTTCGGCGGACAGGACTTAAAAACATTATCCCTTAAATTATATCCATGGACCAGAATTGGCAGAACGTAATACTTATTTTTTAGTTATATTACAATAACAATGACAAAAACGTATTTAAAATAAATTATACTAATGAATTGATGCAAATGCATGCAATAAATGCTACCTATGCATTGATATTGTTCGCCAGCAACCAACAAAATGGCGCGAGCGAACACCGCCGTAGATAGGATATTAAAATTATTAAGAAAAAATTTCTTGTTTCGGGCCAATGGGAATGATTGATTCAGAGATAGATTAATTTAGCAAGAATTAAACGAAGGAAAGGAATGACTGAAGACTCACTGTTTGAGTTGATCATTGAAGCTTGTCAAATGAATGATCTCTTGTAGGATGATATAAAGGCGATGAAGGTCTGTAGGCGTAATATGAGATTTCGCTCGGCAATTAATAGGCCAGTGCACCACCCTTAAGTAGATGCTTTGACAATGGACGATGCAACTCGTTCGGCGATGTCAGTGAGAGGTAATGAATAAGTCTTTCCAGATGATGATAGGAAGTGATAGAAAGTCAGAATATATGAGAGAGATCAGAAGATAATGTAAATGTTGAAGGACAAGGTGATGGAAGTTTTTTGAGATAGGATCCAACAGGGAGTTGGGCGTTGCAAATGTCAACAGGATATTCGCAAAGCGTTGAAAGATTAACACAAGGTGATCGATCTTATGCGGTGGTTAAATGACTGATTGTTGTGTAATAATTACTTGACAAGTCACATGCAGATGTCCACTCCTCAGTCCACACTTTGAGAGTTGGGGATGAATACAGACGGTTGGGATGGTCCGTCCATCCCTAAGACCCTATCCACCCAGGGGAGAAAGGGCTTACGGTGAAATTGGAGGGAAGAGGGTTGGTAAGGACAAACTTTGAGGGAAAGGGGTTGGTACAGTGGAAACGTCACGTACAGATATTTTGAGATGGAAAATGAATAATGCTAATAATTTCAATTAATTATTCTTTTTCATCTCTACCAAGACCTTACATAAAGAGAGAAATTAATGGATATAATTAATATGGTGAATTATGACCGCTAAATATGTATGGATTAATATAATAATAATAGAATACAAACTCAAATTGCTTACTTAATTTTTTTAAATTTATTGACAAATTACTTACGTGGTTACATAATGAATTTGTTATAAAATATCTTTATTTTTTTTACTTCATTTATTTATATTTACAACTGTATATGTTGGATATAAATAAACAAACCAGCAGATTCAATTTATGCTTGTAGCATTATTGGTGTTATAGAGAAAGCTACCCAATTGGCAGCAGCTCTGGACTACTAAAATAATATTAATCATTTAAGAGGCTTCTTATCCTTGTTCTTTTCCAACATTTATATGGTAATTGTGGGGAATAGAGTAACCGTATTTGTGTGATTGTAGTAATTCATTACTATGAAAACGTCTGTAATATGTGTGGTATTTAGTGACCGTTAATTGATGATTATTTAGATTGTGAGATGAAATGAGTACAAATTCTTTCACTGAATCTAAAGTTTATATCAGTGTATAAATTCATTTGTTCACATCTCATATGCATTTGTATAATTTAAACAATGCTTATAAATCCCAGGCCCTGAAGATGATCTCAATAAAGATCGAAACTTTGGCACGTAAATATATAAGTAAAAAAAATTAATAGACATTTACATCACATACAGAAAATTTACTGAATGTATTTATTTATACTATTTATAACTTCTTCAGTATTTTGCATATTGTAAATAAAATTATAAAAGTTGAATAAGGTAGGCAATTTATTTATTTAAAAAAATATTAATTATTAATTTATTGATTGGTAGAGAAGTTTGGGATTGGGAACATTGAGTTTGTTGACAAATTGAGTAAAATATTTCTCTGGCCTTTGAGAAAAGTAGGCTAGTAGTCAGGAGTTGAGGAATCGAAGAATCAAACTGGGAGTTGGGAATCAAAAGAATCGGAGAGCTGAAGAGTCAAAAGAAACAAAGAATAAAATTGAGAGTTGGGAATCGTGACGTATCTATTGAAACTGTTTAAAGAAATGAGGTAGCTTTATTGCCACTACCACAATTTACTATTTATATTCTATAATGAAAGCAAAAGGATGAGGTAGTTTTCAAACAAATTAAAAACAAACATCATGTTTAAGTAGTAACATTTTTAATTATCAACGATCGGAAATATTTATAAATTAACTATTTACAAGTATATTATGAGAAGATATTAAAACTTCATGCTTTTCACCTTCTTGTCTTCCTTATAGACTACTTCCTCTTGAACTGAAAACAAATCAATATGTTAGATTACAATAAATTAGATTAATAACAAGAAAGAAATAAAACACTTGAATTATCAAGTGATTGTAAATACCAACAGTATATATTATAAAATGGACATCTGTTGGGCTTATAAATTATTATTTTGATAGCAACTTCCAGTACTTAAATGTCAAAACCAAATATACTGAATCTTCTATGCTCCTTTACAGTAGTTCAGTTGCTTTATTCCCTATTTAGCATTTAAATATTGAATTAAGGATCAATTCATTCTTGTTGAGATATAGTTCATGGTATTCTTTTAAAATGGGACACACAGCTACAAAATGATATACTTCTTTGATTACACAGTGAACAAAGTTTGATTTGTTTATTAAACATAAATTTATTAAAATAAAATTGCTATCCTCAAACATTAAATTACTATATATGCTGTTTAAATTATTATAAAAGTTATTGTACAGAACAAGCTGTTTATAAACTGTGAACCAAGCACAGAATCTTTTAACAGGACTGCCTTCCAATCTTTCAACTACCAGCACTGCTCCTACAAAAATTGACAGGTCTTACTTTGCATACACATTCAAGTGAGGAACTAGGCAAAACCATTCAGTTGATTAATACTCATACACATTGGTCAATACATTTTAAATAGCCCTTAAATAGCCCAAATAGAAACTTGAGTCCATTCAAGGTCGTTTGGCAATGAGAGTCCAGGGATTTTGGTATTATGGTAACTCAACACTAACACCATCCACTATTACTAATAATGCTACATCAAATCTATCAAATACAAACAAACCAAAATACATTTCCATGCCATTCATTCACGACCGATCACATAAATTAAACACATTTTTCTTGTCCGATAACTTTAAAATAGCTTTCCAAAATTATAAAACAATTCAAACACTTTTTTCCAAAATTAATGATCCCACTCCAATAACAAATAAATCTGACGTAATCTACAAAATCAATTGATTAAACTGTCCGGCAACTTAATCAGTCTTACATCCCAATATCTGGATAAGAGAGTAAAGCAACATATCTACGATTGCAAAAAACTCAAGCAAAATCCTCAGCACTCGCTACCCACCATTTTGAACACAAACACAATTTCGACTTCAACAATCCAAAAATATTACACACAGAACAAAACAAACATAAACGTAACTTTTTAGAAATACTTTACATCAACAGAAATAAACAGAGCATCAATTACAGAATAGACACATGTAAACTCAGTTGCAGCTACACCAATATCATTAACGAAATTCAATATAGATAACAAACATATATTGTCACTTCACACAAAACACATATTATAACATATAAAACATTCACCATATTCCACACATTAAACATTTTTAAATAGTCTAATTTTTCAACAATTTAGCTTTCCTTTTCTTATTTATCCCCATCTGTATAATCCTGAAAGGATATCTGGCCGAACCATTACCAACGTTTTTTCCCTTCGTCGGCTCTTTTCACCTCAAAGAAGCTGACTTCTTATACAAAAATGTCTTTCTATACTGACTTCCTTCCCCACGTTCAAAATCCAACTTATATAAACATAAAACAGCAAAAACTCACTGGCACTCTCGACACGACACGCAAGAATGGCACAATTACACAGAAGACAAACACTTTGAGTGAGTAGAAATACTTTGATTAATACTCTCTTTCGCTGTGCTCATAGAGTGAGGTAATACCGGTTGTGGCCCGACAAACTCAGTATTAAAGCCTTCTTTGGCCAGGCCTTCCGCTTCTTCATTGCCATAGTGTCCTTTATGTGCTGGTATCCAAATAAGGGTTACCTTGTTCTCAAACCTGGAAGGGATTATATTGATAAGATCTACTGTTCCCTCCACCAGTCTAGATGTTGACAAATCTTTTTGTAATGACCTAAGACTAGCCTGACTGTCAGAAAAAATTCTAATATCTTGTCCCTTGATTTTATTTTCCATAAGTGTTCTACAACACACATTAATGGCCCAGATTTCCGCCTGAAAAACGGACGTGTTATTGCCTAGAGGGGAGGAGATGCTGATACCTAATTTAGGTATATGGATTCCAGCACCACTTCCTTTCAACCATTTCCATTTCAAACATTTTCTTTATTGTGCCAACTTTTCAGGGCTCAAAGTTTTCTGTGTAGATGTGTCATTCATTATTAATGACACATCTACACAGAAAATAAACACAACAATAAAGATTGAAACACCAGACCACATCTCACAATCTTTAAATAATCTTTAATTAATACATTCGGATATATGTCACATTTTAAGCTTAAACAATTTATGGTGTAATTTTATACATACACAAAATTATTTTCATTGTTTTAAATTCTATTGTAACAAGTTTTATTTTTGTGTGATTTATTAATTTAAATTAATTTTTTTATTTATTTTCAATGTGACAATGATTTGTGAGCTTGAAATCTGGATTACTGCATAAAACAGTTTGTGAATTGAACCAGTGAACTGATGTACTCACCCTACCTAAACTATTTTTAGTTATTATTACTATATATTAACTATTATTTTTTATTACCAAATGCTTGGAACCAATAAACTTTACCATTTAGATTCTGTTTCTCATTATTAATGTTATGTGTGGTGATTAGTGACCGTTAATCGATAATTATTCAGAAATCGTGAGATGCGGTCTGGTGTGATGTAGGTTTCAGAAAAACATTTTCTTTATCGTGGCAACGTTTCGATCTTTATTGAGATCATCCAAACACTTTGAGCCCTGAAGATGATCTCAATAAAGATCGAAATGTTGGCACGATAAAGAAAATGTTTTTCTGAAACCTACATCACACCAGACCGCATCTCACGATTTCTGAATAATTAATGTTTATTTTAAATTTTTTTTTTCTGTAATAGTGTTGTAATTATTATAGTTATTAAATAAAACAAGTCTGTAAAAGTCTTTAATAAAAAATTAATGGGAGGATTCATGAATGCAAGACAAAGAGCACTCGAGAAAAATTGACTAGCATGCACAACAGAGTACTATCCAGAACAAAATACAAAAACCCCCTAGAAAATTGACTTACAACATACAACATTAATTTGGAGAAAATTTAAATGAACCACTATTTATTCAAAAATAGCACAATTTGGTATAGTAGGAGAAATTCTTTACTATTTGTATGACGGCATCTAATAACATAGTTTCAGTATAACCCTAGACCATACCTATATTACGTTTAAGTTCGTTAAGTCTGGTTTGATCCAGTATGAAACAATTAACCATCCTATAGGAGGTACCACAGTACCTTGTTGTTTGTGTTAAATGCTCTGGTGAGTAAATGTATTCATGGTGCCAGTGGGTTGATAGTGGAATGTTAAGTATCCAAATGTGGAACATGGAATATAGATTTAATGTCCTTCTAGAGGAGTGGGAATATGACTATGATACATTTATAACAACAACACACATGTTGATCCAGCTATGCGAGAGTGTACACAACACATAAGCTATCAAAAATGTATAACTCAAAGACAACGGCTCGGTTCATATAACCTCATAGTTGGAATACCCTTGTAAAAAAGCTTAACAGATGAAAATGAGAGTTTTACTCCAAGAGGCCTCCAGAGATGCTCAGTCAGTAAAACCTGCCCTGGAGTAACAATTCCCAATAGGATGTTTTCCATCAAAATATATGCACTTACCAAATGGATCGAAACGTATAAGTTCGAGTTTATCAGAAAGCCTCTCTCTAATTTTGTTAAAACGGTGTCCACTCACCATGCTTTTCATAGATACCATGATGAATCTGAAGAATTAAATTAAATTAACCAACAACAACAACAACATAATTAAACAACATCTTACTTGCTCTTGGCCTTTTTTAACAAAACATTTGTTAAAATCATTGTGTCTAAGTCTCGAAAACAAATTGGGACTTCGCCCTTTGGTAGCCGTAGAATAACCTGCTAGTAACGAACCTTGCCAGTTGCCGCTGTACGGTCACGCTGAGTCATGATCTGTGAACCAAGACAAGTTGGCTAATCTAATCATTACTTCAACAAACTATTTCATTAGTTATAAAATTTAATTCATAAGTAATTAAAGTCATAACTTTAACTAAAATAAAATTAACAAATTAAAAACAAAAACTAATACGCTTTAACTTACCAGTTAGCAGACAAACTTTATTTGCATTTGAGAATTTACAGTGTTAGAATGTAATTGTATACGTACAAAGGTATAATTTCCCCATCCAATGGAAACTAACTTTCATAACTCCAACACCAAATTCCCTGAGCCCCATCCTCTTATAGACCAAGAAGCCTCCCTGTTTTAATGACTAATTCCAAGATTCGAAACTGAAAACTTAATTTGGGTTGCTGCCTCTCCATTCTACTGCAGTACTTCAGTGCAGTCGACACGATTTCCTCGGCTTTAGGGTAGGGATAGGGATAAAAGAGGCGGCCACATGGCCTACTGCACCTTGACCTGAATAGATCTATTGTGCTCCTCTGTTATTTATAACTCACTGGCCAGCTTCAGGCATCAGCTTCCATAGCTTTGCTAGCGGCTCTTTAGTGTAGGGGTCTTGCTCGTGGTTTTTCTCCTAGTTGCAAGAACCTTCACCAAATTAGACCTTCACAGAAACATCGAATGTGTCTGCACAGAGTTTCTTCTGTCAGTGCTCCTATCCGGTGGTGGTAGTGCTCTATTAGGAGTTCAACCATAATCCTGGTTCGGTTGCGGATGCCTTACAATAATTCTTTTGTAATGATTATTCAGAAATCGTGGGATGCGGTCTGGTGTGATGTAGGTTTCAGAAAAACATTTTCTTTATCGTGCCAACGTTTCAATCTTTATTGAGATCTCTTAAGGGCCTGGGATTTACAAACATTGTTTAAATTTAACAAAAACCCCGGTAGGGGGAGGAAAAAAGTGAATTTATACAATGCAAATAAATATTTTTTTATATATTCAATCAAAGTATTTCTACTTATTCAGTTCACAGTTTTCTGTGTAATTGTGCCATTCTTGCAAGTCGTGTTGAGAGTGCCAGTGAGATATTGCAATTTTATGTTTATATACGTTGGATTTCGAATGGTGGGGGAGGAAGGCGGTATAGAAAGACATTTTTGTATAAGGAGTCGGATTCTTTGAGATGAAAAGAGCCAACGATGGTAAAAAACGTTGGTAATGGTTCGGCCAAATTGTCCTTTCAGGATTATATAGATGGGGATAAATAGGAAAAGAAAAGCTAAATTGTTCAAAAATTAGATTATGTAAAAATGTTTGATGTGTGGAATGTGATGAATCTTTTTTTTTCTCTTGGCTTTGCCTCAATGCATTGGCCATGATGTTGCCATGCCGGTTTGATGAATGTTTTATATTCAATTCACTAATATCGTGGTCCGCTTGACCAATGAATATCTTACAATTATCTCAACTGATAACCTTAATTAATATTTTATATGTTATATTATATTGTAAGCCGGTCTTAGTGATAAGTTTAAATTGTTAAAATAAGAACAAAATAGGGTAAACAATGAAAAGGGACAAAGGTTGTACTCTGAAGGGGCGACCACCCAGACGGGAACGACGTGACAAATCTGGCAAATGTAGCTTGGAAATGGTTACTCAGGTAGACAGGTAAGAACGGTCGGAAATCCGTAGCCACGGGGGACATCGTAAATAGGGGATGCGTCAACCCTGAGCTAGACCACCGTCTTTAACGGCCCACCCGCGGCGTGAGAACTCCCCCGACTTTTGAGTTTCCTTTCCACCCTTACTGCGGGAGAGACCCGGTATAAAAGGGATGACTGGAAAATCAAAAGTTAGTAAAGTTACAAGACTCACCCCAGTCAAAATCCGAGACTCACCCCAGTCAGTCAAGATACAAGACTCACCCCAGGTAGTCAAGACCAGGGACTCTCTCAGAAGTCACCTCGGAAGACTTGCCTGAGTCAAAATCCAAGACTCACTCCAGGCAGTCAAGACCAAGGACCGGGAGAGAAGCAGCCACAGTCCGTCTGGGATTCAACAAGGGAACTCAGCCAGCCAGAGCCAGCGAGGATCAGCCGTTGTGACCAATCGAGCCAAGTCAGAGGTCGAGAGAAAAGGATGCTATGGACACTGATCGTGGCGAACGTCGTTTGGGGTAAGTCCCTTGGTGGGGTGGGACTTACTGGTGTCAGGTGTGGGGTTGGTTGGTGCAAGAATCCATACCAAATAAATCGGAGAAAAAGTATTCGGGGACTTTATTGGGACGCGAAGCTCCCTAGTTAAGAAAAATGTCAGAAATCGAGGAGTTAAAAAAGAGAGGAGCTGAGACAGGCGCCGAGAAGACGACGCGAGAGACGCCGACAGGAACGTCGAGAGAGACGTCGGGAGGGTCGTCGAGAGGGACGCCGACAGGAACGCCGAGAGGGACGCCGAGAAGGACGTCGAGAGGGACGCTGAGAAGGACGTCGAGAGAGACGCCGACAAGGACGTCGAGAGGGACTTCGAGAGGGACGTCGAGAGAGACGTCGAGTGGGACGTCGAGAGGGACGTCGAGAGAGACGCCGCGAGGCGCCGAGAGAGACGCCGAGAGGCGCCGAGAGAGACGCCGAGAGGCGCCGAGAGAGACCCCGACAGGAACGTCGAGAGGGACGCCGTGAGAGACGCCGAGAAGGACGTCGAGAGGGACGCCGAGAAGGACGTCGAGAGAGACGCCGACAAGGACGTCGAGAGGGACTTCGAGAGGGACGTCGAGAGAGACACCGAGAGGCGCCGAGAGAGACCGCGACAGGAACGTCGAGAGGGACGCCGTGAGAGACGCCGAGAAGGACGTCGAGAGAGACGCCGACAGGAACGCCGAGAGGGACGCCGACAGGAACG